AGGGAACAGGGCTGTCCTTGGTTCGCTTTCGAATCTTGTTTGAGTCTTGCGAGTTGACTCGCAGGTACGTTGGGCATACCTGGTGCAACTGTTATTTCGTAGCTGGCAGCTGCTCGAACTAGCGGTTTTTCTAGTTGCTTTAACTAGTGCCTCTCTGCTTGTTGGTGATTCTGTCGTTCATTTGTTTCTTTAAGCGCAGCAATTTTCTCAGCAGAACTACTTTTGCCAAGGGACTTTAGCTGTTTCGATATGTTCGTAATGTGTTTGTTGACACTTGTAGGACTTAATCATCCTATCGGCTGAGAAGTGTTTTAAACGCAGTTAACTTTTTTGCATAGAATTTTGCTCGTTTTTCTTGCCTGCCCTCTTTTTTACGCAAATTATTATTTTCATTCATCGTACTTTTGCGCAAATTAATTTTTCTTTCCCCCCACTATAAAATTTTGCATGTATTCAGTCAGTTTTTGCAACTGGTTTGTTTGAAACTGTCAATTTTGGCGCCGTTGCCGGAGCGAAGAGTTGGCCTGAACACAATAACTGCGCTACGTGGGCTTTATAGAATCACTTATTTGTTTTTATGGCAGTCTTTCCAGGATGAAAGTTGTCAAAGTACCAACAGTTCTTCGGCAACGCTGGGTGTGAGAATGATTGGTAAGTCTTAAAACTATTCTGCTGCAGATCTGTATAATTGTTAGGAGTCGAGAAACGTAGAGCAGCGAATGAAATTGGCGACGGTTTTACATATGAATTTCTGTGTTTCACTTGATTTGAATTAAGGTGAAATTAGATGCATTGAGAGCCATTTGTTTTTTAAGTACCAAGATTTGCAGACAGTGGGTTTAGGGATGCGATGTTAGCTATTTCAATGCTTTCATGCGCTGAGCCCAGCTCTCTGAATGTCCTACAGATCTAGTACCTGCAGTTTACACTTACCTCCCAGTCGACGTATGTGCATCACATCTTCAGAGGCAAACCATCTGGTTGTTTATACCCAGCGTTGTCGAAGAACTGCTGCTACTTTGACAACTTTCATCCTGGAAAGACTGCCATAAAAACAAAAAAGTGGTTCTAAAATGTAATAGACAAAGTAAGGGGGTCAGAAACGGAAGGGCAATTCAGCACTTGTGCAGTAGAATTATTAAACCAAAGCCAAGTCCACGGTTTATAACCCATTTTAGTGACGTTGCTGAACTGCTTCCACACATCGAGTGCGGCGAATCGTTCATGAGTTATTCAAGTAGTAAGTTATGGTAGACAACCTCTTAAAAAGATGTTAAATTTTGTCTGTGGATATGGGCCGAGATTGGCTTTAAAGATGAGACATGAAGAGTGCGTGCCGCTGGTGAAGTTTTAGCCTGGACAGATGAGTCTTAGCTTCGAAGTTGAGGTGATAAAATGAATGGCTGATAAATATGTTATCGGAGTGTTAAGCGGGGACGACGACGCTTCAGCAGAATTTCTTCCATTTGGTGTGCACAGTTAGCATCTGGAGGCGAAAAAAATTAACCCATAAATTTAGGTCATTACAGTTTGCTAGTCCGATTTGAATCAGATTGTTGAAGACCACTTGCGCAATCGTGGAACTATGACTTTTTAATTACACTCAGAAGTACTTCTGCCTCATCTCTAGGTTATTTTTAACACAACAAATAAAAACAATTCGAATTCTTTTCAGAGTTTCGGCTACTTAAAACTCTTCTGCAGTTATTCGGCCTTCCAATATTAATATCATGTTGCAAATAGGTCTTGATATTCTTGGTATTAGGCTTCCAGTTGCTTTATACATCACTATAAAACAGCAGCTGATTTAAGCAACAAAGTACTGCGCCTACATCGTCCTAATTGTTGCGTAGTGCTTACGCATGTAAGCCAAGTTAATGAATTGGTTTAATTTTACATTATTCGGTCAAAAAAAGCAAGGTGTTATCGACCGAACATAATTTCTTCGACTTTGTAGATTTTCCTGCTGCGATGTCTGAGTTACTGAGATAGGATACTTGGAATACTTGGCTCAGCCCACCATTACAAACTTCACATGCTGTGTTTCAGAAATTATAAGATTTTATTAATTCGTTTACAAAGATCCGTTTTCCTTAAAGTCTCAATAGGCAGAA